TTGCACGGCCAACTCCAGTGCTCAGTCCACTCAACAACAGGGCGCGGAGGGACACACAGAGCCATCCAGGGCCCCAGCAGTGACGACGTCGCCACTCCCACCAGCGAGGCCAGCAAGCCAGAGGGGCCAGTGAGTCCCACCAGCGAGTCAGAGATCGGCGGCAACCGCTTGCACGGCAAACTGCAGTGCCAAGCCCACTCAACAACAGGGAGCCAAGGGACACACAGAGCCATCCAGGGCCCCAGCAGTGACGACGTCGCCACTCCCACCAGCGAGGCCCTACAACACCAGGCGAACGAACGCGGCGAAGATTGAGGCGGCGGCTTCCAATTGACACGGGGAAACAAAAGGTACGGGCAGTCTCAAACACGCATGGTCCCAGTCATCTCTACCGATTAAGAAAATCATCGAAAAACGGGTGCAATACGAAAAACATGCGGAATAACTAACCAAGTATCTATCTCACCAAATTGCTCCTAAGGGCCTCCGCCTTGGCTGCAACCCCTCAATGTCTACACTAAGTGAAGCAGAAAGGAGGTAGTGGGAAAAAATATTACTAGAAGCGTCCTTGCAACTGACTCGGGTCGTTGCGGACCATAGTGAGCGTAAGGTCGCCGAATACAGTGTCACGGAGGCCACGCAGAAATTAGTATCTAATATCAGAGAGCATGAGGCAAGAGAACTGGAAAGATATGAACTAAAAAAGGGGGGCGAAATTTCAATAGTGAACGATAGAAAATTCTATCGGGACTGCAGAAGCTCCACTGCTCTGCAACAGGAAAATAGGAATGAGATCCTACAAGAACGCTAGGGACCACCCGTACCACAACCAAACTTTGAGGAGGAAAATGGAAACTCGAAACTACAGAGTAGTCCTAATCAAAACAGCCTTACTGTCGAATATGATGCTGACACTCCTGTGCCACGTGATAGCCGAGAGCAGCCAAAAAACTTATGAGAAAAATGCCCTCAATCTGTCCAACACAACGCTTACACCCGCTCAGCTGCAACTTTTGTCGAGAGACTTAACCTTTTGTTCATCATCCGGTAGATTCAATGAGTTTGAACTGTACTAAGACCTCGATAACTTTGCGCGTAATCTCCGCCTCCGTGAATACTTTCATGATAGGAAGGACTGTACGGACGAGAATAGATTGATTGGTGGTGACAAATCATGGTGTCCAGGTGAGCAGAGAGAAAACACCTCGATATGTATATATCAGCAGATCAAAAAGATACCATCAGAGCATATGAAAAAAACTCGGCCATCTCAAAACAACCTATCAAATCAGAACGAAGGGCACTCGATGAACTACGAAAAAAAAAACGCTGAAATTACCATCAAACCGGCTGATAAAGGGGGCTGCATAGTAATTCTAAACACGTTGGACTACTTAAAGGAAAGGGAACGACAACTATCAGACACAAAATTCTACAAAGAACTTCCAACGAACCTGACTCCCGAATTTGAAAGTGAGAGAAAAGGAACCCTAAATAATCTCTGCCGGGACGAGAAAATTACCGGCAAAATGTTAAAAGCGATGTTACCGGCCCTTCCCGGTCGATTCTATTTGCTCCCCAAAATACACAAGGCAGGCAATCCAGGACGTCCGATAGTATCCAGTAACAGCACATCAACAGAAATATCAGAATTCATCAATTCTGCATAAAAGACATCCCTCCAAATTTTCCCTATTACCTGGACACAAACCACTTCATCTGCGAAACTTCAAGTCTCAACATCCTAGGCAATAGTTTTCTGGTGACCATGGACGTCTGCTCACTGTACACCAACATACCCCACCATGACGGAATAACGGCTATGGTTTCTGAATATGTAAAATCTGACTCATCAGCTGGTTTAAGTGGCGGGGTACTGTTTACACTTCTTAAACTTGTACTAAATTATAACCTTTTGAGTTCAATGGCAAGCACTTCCTTCAAGTCAGTGGCACTGCAATGGGCACAAAAATGGCCCCAAACTTTGCGAGCACCTTTATGGTTTCCCTTGAAATCCCATTCGTTCAGAGACGCACCTTGAATTCCTTTATACTACAGAAGATACTTAGACGACATTTTTATGACATGGAACCACGACGAGCGACGTGTTTGCCGCTTCATAGAGGATTTTAGCAAGTGCCACCCATCAATTAAATTCATGCACACAATTTCCAAAACTAGCATTAACTTCTTGGACGTCACTGTCACGGTCAAAAATTACCGCTTGTCAACAAAGCTTTACAAAAAGCCTACAGACCGTCAAATGTACCTACATTTCAACAGCAGCCATCCAAAGCATTGCAAAACGGGTATTCCATATTCTCAGGCCTACCGGTACCGAAGAATGTGCACCGATATGCAGGAATTTGACAGGCACACAGAATGCCTAAAGCATTTCTTATTGAAACAAAATTATCCTGAAGACATTATTGACGATGCCATACTACGTGCTCGCAACGTGAACCGGAATGATATAATTAAGGGACCAAACAAAGTATCTAAAACGACTTCCCAAACGAACCTTGTACCAACTTACTCTTCATCAGTGCCAGGAATCAACAACATACTTTCCCGCCATTTCAACATAATCAGGCAAAGCAAACGATAACTTGAATTTTCGCAAAGACACCTCACGTGGTGTACCGCAGAGATAAAAACCTGAAGGACATTCTTGTCAGAGCAAAAACAGACCCATCCAAAATTCAATCAGGGTGCCATCTCTGCGGAAAAGCTCGATGCATGGTATGCCCACGGATGGTCACAACACGTGAATCAAAAGCGAGCTTCTCGGATTTCAAATTCTGCATAACTAAAAGCCTTAACTGTGACTCCAGTGACGAAATATACACGCTACATTGCAACATCTGCGGACAAGAATATATCGGCCAAACAGACACGCCATTTCGGCTGCGGTTCAATAATCACCGGTACCACGCCACATCACTGCCGAAGCTACCTTTATCTAGACATCTGCGCCTGCCAAACCACAGTTTTGAAAACATCAGCGTGACTCTTTTACAAACCAGTTTCTCAAACAGACGCGAGCGCGAACAGCGTGAGGCATATTTTATTTTCAAATTTAGAACATTAGTAGCCGGCATCAACGAGGACCCCGGAAGACTCTCCTGCCTCCTAGAAGTAAGCGAGGAGGAAAGAGAACTTGGTGACAAAGATTCGTAGCTGGAGACCGTGCTTGTTTTTCTGACTGACTCGTACGTGTACACTGTCCTTTTCTTTTTTTTTTTTACGTGTACATACAAAGTGTTTACTTTCGCCTACTACTTGACGGCCATAGAGGGGAAACTGGCGAAGATCAAAGGTAAAGAGCCGACCGACCCATTAAGGGGAAACTCCTTCCTTCGCAGACCCCTCCCGTCACCGCGGCGACAATCTTGGGTGGCCCGACACACGTCGAGAACTGGCCAGCACACGATGAGAACTGAATGTGAACTTACACCGACATTTGTGGTGTACACAGGCTGGTTTCGTGCTCAGCGTTCACAGTGTCTTCTCTCTTTTATTTTTTTAGTTTTCTTTTACTCTCACAAAAATCTTTCAAGGCAAGAGGGACGCGGCAGCAACGAACGTCTATGTTAGTATAACTCATCCCCTGGCGAAGGGAAGAACCCCCCCCCCCCCCCCCGAAACTGTTGGGAAATAAATATATTTATCCTTGTTGACAACGCTCCCGTTGTGTCATATCACAAACACACACACCATATATATATATATATATATATATATATATATATATATATATATATATATATATATATATATATTTATATATAGATCGTGATTTGTGCGTGGCGCGCAACTTCCAAGGCCAATTTTTGCGAGCTGTAGTTACTTTCAACTTAACGAGGCGGCGCCACCAGTACTGTTAGTACAGTGTACCGTAAGCGTTGCTGCATCTCTGCTCACTGAAACCCTTTGAGCAGCGTATTGGTTGCCACGCTGAGTGATCCCAGCGACGCTGCTTGTATGACTACGTTAAAGAAGATCAAATACTACCATTAGAAGAAAAGCGAGAGTAATGATGCTGTTTGACACACAGCGTTTCAGCCATGCCCCACGTCCTCCGGGATAGCCGTGATCGTATAGTGGTTAGTACCTTGCGTTGTGGCCGCAATAACCCAGGTTCGAATCCTGGTCACGGCATTAACTTTTATCTTTTTTTTGCTTGCTCGAGTGTTTTGTTCTTTTCCTTCATGCTATTCCTGCTCTGTAAATTCGGTGTCTGGCTCTGAAGTTCGCTTTGTGGTTTCAAAGGCTTAACCATACTTTCTAATTTCTGCTTTGGTGGGGCGTTACCAGAACGAAAGCGGGGAAAGGGGGGTAGTGAGTTCTTGGGCCTTAAGTAGAGTAGCGGGCTGTAGACTTTTATGTGGTTTGTTGGCAATGGTGAAAAAATAGCAGAGCGATCGTACTGAAGTGCGGAAAGTTTGTTAGCACGTATTTTCATGGTATAATATATCCAGATATGCTCCTCATATATTTACCTATTTTTTCCTGCAAATAATAATAGTTAAGCGCAAATTCAAATTAATAATAATAATAGTAATAATAATAATGAATAGGTGCACATTCAAATTTACAAAGACAGGCAAGCGAAGACTGTGGAAGCACTTGAATGATAAACACGAGCGCAGCTTTATCGCTACCTGTATCGCAGTTGTATTCCCGGACGCGGCTAATCTTTCACTCTGAACATAAACGAGCCCTTTTAATCAGTGGTTCTCTTTAACGGTCTGTACAGATCCATATTCAGTTCTGTGCAATATTCAGCCACTTTAGCTGTAATGAACTGGACAACTACAGGTCCCACGTACACCGTCCGAAACTTGCTGCCATGCGTGCGCGTCAGCGCTTTCGTTGTTTCACTCGTTTTCGAGAGTTACGGTGTTTAAACGGTGGTTTCTGAATGCGCGCTAAGGCCAGTGCATGCAGCGCTATCTGCCGAAATACACCGTAAGTGGCTTTGCGCTTGTTTCGGAAGCCGTGTTAGAAGCGACTGAACATATGACCGAAGGATGAACTGTGCAGCCTTGTGACAAATGTCCATTTTTGACAAGGATATCATATCGGCCTGCCGGGGGGTGACTGTAATATCTACCTAGGCATCACGTGACCTTCAGATAACGCTCACCCGTACGCTGCCTGTTTGAGATACATGAGGAAAACGCATCAAGGCCAAGCTCCATCGTCTTACTGACTGCAACGTGTGAGTTTCCTGCCTGCTTGCTAACTTCGATAAAACCGCATTCGCGCCGCAGGGGAAACGAAGAAATATTTGCTGTAAAAAATTGTTAGAGCTGTGTAGGGACGTCTAAAGTAGCAAGGCAATCCGCTTTCAAATATATGCGATTGAAGTGTGAGCACGGCAGGGTGCAGCAGAACGCGAGCGTTCATGACCAGCATGACGTTCCCGAGTGGTGCTGCCTTTTGAAGAAGACACCAGGGGACGCACTCGCAAGAAGCGTGACGTCATCAAAAAGTGTGGCTTCGTGATTGGGCCAGTATGACGATCCAACAGTTCGGCAGTAGCACGCGAAGATTGAACAGTCGACTTAAACGTGTGCGTCGTATATTTGAACATACTGGCCGCATAGTTCCCTCCCGTTAGAATAAACCATGCATGTTAGAACAAACATTAGTTCCCACGCTTCTCTGACATGCTCGCCTTATCAAAGTGCGTATTCGCTTGGAAACTAATGTTTGGCGCCGCTCGTACCCGGAAGCACTGGAAGATAGCGAATCCAATAACTTGCCGTAGGCTCGTCACCAAAACAGCATCCGTACAGTTCTTGCTGTCACAGCGCATCGTTCTACGAGTAATTTCCAATTCAGGTAGAAGCATAAGCAACCATACTTGAACGCTTTTTCTTTTGATGACTTGCTCATCGAACAGCGAACTTTATCTCAAATAGCACGAGCCTTGTTAAGCAAGGCATCAACTTTGACACACTCTTGCGATTGAGCTTCAAAAACACCATCAAAAGAAAACAAATAGAAAATATGGATCAATTTTGGGGAGAACTACAAGTCATATGAAGCTCAGCTAAAGCTAGTAAAAAGAACAGTCAGTATGCAATGTCAAAATGGAGTCGTAAACCAGTTCACAAAAATTGATGTCTACCTTTGTCAAACACAACCAGATTGTGACATCAAATCTGCTGATGGGACCTCCGTAGGGGTGCATGAACGTTGAGTTTGGAATTGAAATTGAATGATAATCTATTCAAAAAATTTGTTTTTGCTTTCGCATAGCTAGTAAAGCTTCGAATGATTCGACAAAATGAACGTCTCAAACAGGACAAAGGTCAATGGTTCAATTTCGTTCAGTTAAAACTGAACGGCGGCTAAAAGTATCACTAACATCCTTACAATATTCCTTTCGTTAAAACTTGTACCGATATCCTGGTTTAGAAGGGACTACGTACTTATTTTAAGAGATATCATTTGCGTACATCATGGCTCCTGCAAAGAAAACCAAGAAACTTGCTGGGAAACTGTTGAACTGCTAGCGTAAAAAAAAAAAATAACCAGCATACTGAGCTTAGACCATATAGTCAAGAAATTCGAAAATACTTCAGTGAGCCTTATAGCAAGAAAGGGTAATTTTTGAAATATTGAAAAAGCATGGAACAGTCTATTTATCCACAAAATTGCTTCGTGATATTTTTTTCACCCCTGCCGCTATGGTGTACAGTGAGCTCATGTTTTCCGCTGTTAAACAGCAAAACATCATGGCAAGAAAGTTTGGAGTCAGGTAATGTGGAACATCTTGTGTGTCTCTACGACAGTGTAGTGTTGTGGCAGCAGCCACTGTCTTCTTTCTGTGCTTAAGAGCATGAGCAGATTTCGTTTATATGTTTTTTCTGTTGATTGTTAATAAACTATGTTGTATTCAATTTGATATCCTTGGCCACTATAGGGAACTATTTGATTTAAAGTGAGATTTCACGATTTGCACACCTTTACTAGAAATAACAGATGACACAATGTGGGCTATGTGTGACACAATTTGTGACATAACACAATGTGTCGCACATATTGTGTGACTTGATGTGTGACACATAACAGATGACACAATGTGGGACACGACGTCAGGCGTTATGACTGTAAGCAAGCTCGATTTGTCGGCGCAATGCAACACCCTGCAAGATTCATGATGCATCGTCTTTTTCAACATTACCCCGACCCATTGACATAATAAGTGATCCGAGAGTGACCTTTGTGTCCAAGAACTTCAGCATGGTCAGTGAGGGCATCACATATTACAATCATTTTGTGAACTTTCATTGAGACATCCCACGTCTATAAGCTCATCCAACTTATTCTGAACTTTAACTAGATTAGTGTGAATGCCCGAACTTAAAGGGCTGCTCAGAACTGCTGATGGAATGTTGTCACTAGACGAGATCTCATTGAGTACTTGAATCTCAAGATCTCCGTGACACAAGAAGAGGACAAAAAGGCATGCTGGTAAGAGTAAAACAGAGTTATTCGCCCGTTGATTCACTCAGGAACCCGGCCTGCTTAGGCACAGCTTTTTGCCAGGCCGCTAAGAACTCCAGAAAGCATTTCACACTCTCCAATTCTTGACTTTTGGCCTTAAACCTCTCTTTGATTGTCTCTATCTATGCCGTGGCACTGATGAGGTCTCTCATCGTCAAGACAAATGCAGAAGCAGTCTTGGTAGAGCCAGTGCCATAGCAGTGTTTTGCTCTTGGATGTTGTAGACTTACAATCACTTCAAAGCTTCAACACTGAAGCGGGTAAACAAGTTCACCCGCATTTTTTCAAGGGCATTGCGCAAGCAAACAGCCGTGGTGAGGTACAGCATTGCCCCAAGTGTCCCTGAACTTGAAGTGTGACATTTGCAGGCTTCTTTTACATATTAAGCGCGGAGCATTTCTTAGTTGCACGATGACACGTGTCGTGCCCCAGCGGCGATGTCCACACCCTCAACAAGCATGCTTGCGTCTCATGCCAACTGTTTGCCGATGCAGACAGTGTCTTCAAGTAAAAATCGACTGCTCGAGCTGCACAACTGTTCTTTGGCCACCGCATATATGTAGGCAATGATTTGCACCTCAGCCTCCCTCCGCTCGTTGAAAGCAACGTTTCTCCTTCATTCAATTGATAAATGTAATAAAGACAAAATAACAAGCATTGCCAAACCATGTCCCATTACGCATTAGTCATGTGATACCCACACTGCTCTGCGACGCATGTACTCGAGTTTTCCTTGTGGGAAGATGCGGGCAGCATTTTTTTGTTACCAACTGTATTATTACCGGGTATCAGGAGCCTTAGGAGATTAGGTTACCAGATTACACACACATAGAACCAAGTGAGATAAAATCTGACAAAAATGCAAATACTGGTTTGCACTTACCGGACAGTTTATTTTGCAAACTCTCTTCTCGAGCTTCCACCAAACACCCAAAATTTTCCACACGCTACGGTTCCATGCAGGCCCAACACATGGTACAAAAACCATGAAGGGCCCACATTTCTCATCACAAATCACGGCATCAACAATAATTTTGACCCCGGATATCTGTCTTTATTTCTATCACTCAAGCATCAAACACCAAAATCTCATTTCAATCACCTGCGAATACGTGAAATAAAACTACAGGCCCATGGTCACTCCGAGCCCCAGTAGTACAGTTACCAGGGTTTCTTGCCCTGGCAGCTGTACTAGCCGAGGTCAACGAAACCATCAACTTGCACTTTGCTATTTACAGTCAAGTTGCCGGGTACTTTCATTTCATCAGCACGTGAGCCGCCATGTCTGCGATATGGATCAATAGTGCTTGCAAGCTGTGAGCATCTTCAGTGAAGTTAGAACAACTTTTATAATCTGGATATAAGTAGGCCGGCACGAAGGGCTTGGTACAGCCACAGAATCATGTTCATAAATGTGGTCATAAAGACATGGGTCTTTTATATGCATCACAATGCATTCAAGCATTCAGTCTGGCTAAAAAGCCATTTTATTTATTTATTTTTCTCTTTAGATGCTTCAAAGCATTCATGTACCTAGACTTGCTGTTCTTTTGGCAAGTTTTGCAACATCTTTTTAAGTCTATGGTTAACTATCGCTTCGATGTCCTCTTTCATCATTTCTATGGTCTCGCTCAACCTTGCAATAGTGTGCTCTTGACGTCGTAGCAGCTCATTTTTTCGCTTAAGCTTCTGTGCTAGGTTGGTACTTGCCTGTTTCCATTTCGCCCGCTTATAGTACACCTGGTTTTTCAACAGCTTGTGAAGGTACTTGCACTGCAAGCATTGGCCTCTATTTTGGACTGTCCCACAACACCTCAGGCTGTGCAGTTTGCCTCCATGGAGCCTGTGCTTTGTTTTTACCTGTGCAGCTTCCATTCCGGTTTCCTTCTCAAACCCTTCGCAGGGAATCATTGCATCAATTTCGAACAGGAGGTCTCTAACAGCACGGACGCTGTCGACATCCACTGTTTTTACATGAACACCTTGCACATACGCCCTGCAATGAATGGTTGGCGCACTACTCGAACACAAGAGTAGCTTTTGAAAGCACGGAGTTTCACCACTTGACGCACACACCGAGAAAGCCACCACGTCCGCGTCATTTGAGATGAAGTGCTTCGCCCAGAACCTATTTGGAAGGTCGCCTGTGTCATGCCCTCCAAACCGTAGACGCCGTCACAGTTCGAACTTGTCGGAACATCGGTTTCATCACTGTCCGGTTCCTCGTGAAAGGAGTCGTCCTTTTGTCGCTTGCAAGTCGTGCGCCCATTGGACCACACCGCTTCTATTTTCAGAGGAAGCGGCTCACAGAGGCCAGCAGCGGGCACGGTTGGAAGTATCGTGGGTATCGCGTCCTTTGTCAGTGTAGGGCGACCACGGGGGATTTCCACACACTCGCCGTTGATGAGATGCTTGTAGTTGCGAACGATGAATCTCTCCTCGAAATGCAACTCGCACACAACGCAGTTCTTCCCCAATCGCTTGTCAGCTCGAGAAATAGCGCGCTCCCAGGCCCTGCGTCGTTCGTCGTCGACAGGCACACCGAAGAGAGACAGTTTCCTTCCTTGTAGCCAGGCCGAACCACACCCGATTTTGCATCCCGGTACAAAGCAGTATCTTTGCTGTTTAGGCATCACTGCGGCATGGCCACGTCGGTGCACGGCGGTCTTGAACAAATTTAAACTGCCTACAGTTTCGAACACA